TTCGGTTTTGAAAAAAGCATGTGGTTGCCACTACTTCATCCCAAAAGTATAAAGGAAGGTTTGAAATGTTTAACATAGATCTGAATGCTTCTACAACGGTTCCTTTGCTCTACTAATCCATTTTGTTGCGGTGTGTAGGGAGAAGAGAAGTTATGACCGATACTTTTGCAAACCAAGAAACTATCGAAGAGATGATTAGTGAACTCGGTTCCGTTGTCACTTCGGATTCTGCAAACTGGTACCTTGATTTGTAGTTCAATTTCTTTGATGAAGTTTATCAAGTTCTACGGTGTTTCATATTTGAGTCTCAAGAAAAAGATCCATGTGAATCGAGTAAAGTCATCAACTATAACCAGTATATACTTCTTGGGATGGAGACTGGCTACGATAGAAGGACCGTAGAGATAAATATGCAGCACCTCCAGAGGTTCAGAAATTGATGAATCAATGACCAGTGGGTGACTTCCCTTTGATTGTTTTCCACACTCACAAGCAAGGTAGAATGTTTTATTGTTGTACTTCAGAAGTGGGAGGCCTCAGACGAGTTCTTCTGTGACATGGTTATTCATATACCGAAAGTTTAGATGAGATAGCTTGTAGTGCCACAACCAGCTAACTTCGGATACGGGTTTGGACAGAAAACATTGCTACGGTTTCCTAATGATCAATGAGACAACCAAAGGATCCATGGTCCCTTCGGATTTGGATTTGATCAAACTGGTGCTTGTATCGCTTTTCATGATATAGTAGTTCTCATTATCAAACTCAACTCGATGACCTGCTTTGCATAGTTAGCCTACACTGATGAGATTGTGCTTGAGGCCTTCTACGTAAGCAACTTTTGTATTGAGAAGTTCCCTATTGTTAATACACTGTAACCTCTAATGATACCATTTGCATAGTCTTCGAAGGTGACATATCCTCTATTACATATAGGCCTGAAATCCCAAAGGTATTCTAATCTTCTGGTCATGTACAAGGAGTAGGGACTATCGATCAACCACTCCTCTTCATGTTCCTCCTTGCACAAAGCCTGAAAATTACACGATTAGTTTTAGCACCCAAATAAGTTTAGAACACGGGGTTACAAGTGAGTTCTTCCTTGATGCATGAACAGGGATTGCGGTGACAGGTTTCGTATCAACTTTAAGAACTAGACCTAGGTGTTTTGAGGTGTTTTGAGAATGACAAGCTTTCTGAAAGTTACAAGGTTTCAGATGATTATGAGGTTTTGGAGGATTATGAGGTCGGACTTCATTTGGCCTTTTATGATGATAAAATCCAAAGGTAAGATTTTTCTAATTTAGCTGGACACCGTACTTAGTCAGCGGTCCATAGGGTCTGGTGAGAGGCTTGTGACCACTCCGAGAATGAGATTTGACTGAGTTTCCCTTGGGATTTGAAAATTTTTGGACACTGTACTTCCTCCTAGGTTTTTATGTTTTGTCAAACTGATGTGACTTTAAACGTGGAGGAGTTAGCAAAATTCCTTTCCATTTAAGGTCATCTGATGAATAGTTTTGAAAATGATATTTGTGAAAGAACTTGACACTCTTTTGGGACTTTTTAGGAGATTTTGAAAAAGTTTTTGGAACTGTACATTCCTTTTTGTCTTTTTTCTCGATATGAGATTTTTTGAAGACTAATTTGAAACAACATGTTTTTTAGGACTCTTTTGTTTTGATATTTTAGTTTTATTTTTTGAAAGTATTTCCCACTTTTTCACACAAGATTTGAGTTCCTATTTGAAAGCTTGTTTTGCCTAAGTTTTTGGAGAACCGCAGTCTGAAGCGTTTAACTGCAGTTTCCTAGAAAATTTTGATTGTTTTTTTAAAATGAGGTCTGGAGTCATCTGAACAAGAGGACTCGGGACTCTGAGAGCATTGACCAAATTCAAAATTTTCTATGGGCAATTCATGAAGAATTGGTCGAATGGTCACAGTGCTCTTGACTGTGGTCTGCGGTAAAGAATATTGAACTATCGTATAGTAAGTTAGGGATTGTTCTTTGGAAGGTAATTGAGTTGATTGTTCTCCGAGACTACAGTGAGAGGAACTACGGTTTGTAGACAAATGCGAACAGTTCTAAAGAAATTCGGGACCTTCCATAATGATTTCTTCATAACAAACTGAGAGGCCTGAGAAATGGAATGAATTGTGCCAGTGATGGGATTTTCATCATATAGATGATATGAGGTTTTAGGAAGGATTTCCAAGATGACACAATTATTGCTCAGGTTATCAAGTCTATGGAAGTGGGCTCTAATATCTTCAGGAAATGTTTTGTCATTCACGTGGAAGTGAAACTCTCAGTCAGGAGGGACATAGGGACAGTCTTTGTTAAACTAGGGTGATGAGTCCTTTGCGGTGGAATACCCATGGGACCAACCAAAATTGTGCGTATTGGCTACGGTTCCATTATTAACAAGATTTTCAATGACTTCGCTTTCAGTAAACAATTTTTCGATTAACAAATTCAAACGTACAATTTCTTTTTGTGCTAAATCCCTCTAATCTAAAGCTATTCCTAATTTGGTTTGACATAACATTCTTGCATCATTTACTAACATTGAGATCTCTTTCTAACATGGCCACATTGAGTCTTTTGTCATCCAGTGTCCTCTTACATGGAACATTTATTGGGATGATATGTTCTTCTCATCTACGGCCTTATTTTAGTTTGAAAGGACGACAACACACGTGTCATCAAGGCTATCTAAAAAGGTTGAAAATCATGGATGTTATAATGAACAGTTTGAATTATAAGTTTTACATATTCGACTATGCTCAGAGTTCTGTCTTTACCCATGAAGCAATAGTTCTTTTCCATCTTTGTCGAACCATCTTCATCAGTAGTTGCCAACATGCAAATTTTACCCTTGCCCTTGATGTTGTAGTCTTCATCCTCATTCCCTGACAACCATACTTGATGACAAACAAGAGCAATAACATTCTGGAATTCTTCTTCATCATCATACTATGTGTCAGCTTCGTAAGACTGCGGTGGGTTTTCATAAGAGAGATAGTGAGGTTAAGGACTTATGTTTTGTGAAGTCTGGGCCATGAGAGCAAGTGGATCTCCGAAGTCAACACAATCCTTGAGCATGATTGACTCTTGTTCTTGGAGTTCTCCATATAGTTTAAAAAGAGAGAGTGAGTGAATCTTTCTGTCACCTTGGACTATAATCTTTGCTGTAGTCCAGTGTTTCCCCAAACCATTGAGAAAGTGGAGATTGGTTTCATGGTTGCTGTAGATAGTGCCACCATTTGACAACTTGGTAAAAATTAGGTTGAATCTTTTGAAGTAGTCCTCAAGACTTTCACCCGCATGAAATTTGAAGTTATTGAATTCGTTGAGTGTAGTGGTGAGCTTCTTATCTTGTGCCTACTCCAAACCTTCATACAGATTTTTGAGAACTTCCCGGATCTCTTTGGCTGATTTGCAATTGATGATAATGTTGAAGTTGTCAGGAGCATCTCCACAGGATATTTCATAAAAGCCGATTGCATCATTTTCCATTTTATCAACATCATCTTTAGTGGGACGATTCATGTCAGGTTGACCTCCTCCAAGTCTAGCTTGAGCACTACCGGCCTGAACTGGAGTAAGAATAGGGACATAAGGTCCTTCTTCTACAAATGTCCATACATCTCGTCCAAGTCTTCTTAGATATCTCTCCATCCTTTAGGACCAGTGTTGATACTCATTTGCCACCAGTATTGGAGCTTTATTCGAACCTCCAACACTGTTAGAAACGTAAAGAGATAATGCTTGTGCCATATTTCCTTGTTTTGAGTTTTTTTTTAAAGAACAATTGAGCGTTAGTGGTATAGAAGGCTTTTCAAAATTAGAGTTTTTGTAACGACCCAAAAATCAAGGGTAGAAATTTCATTTTTAATATAGTTAAAACATTGATACGATTTATTTCAAACATTCACTACTAGAAAAACAGCCTTTTACGACGCTCATTGCACGTCGTAAAAGGCTCAGATGACGCGCAAATGCGCATCAAGGAAGGCCCTGTCATAAAGAGAGACGACGCGCATTTACGACGCGCAATTACGACGCGCTTTTACAACACGCATTGCGTATCAAGAAAGGCCATGTCATAAAGGAAGACGACACGCATTCGTGTGTCGTAACCTTACGACGCGCGTGTTAATGATACGCAATGCGTATCAAGAAAGCCATTGTCAAGAAAGGCCATGTCATAAATGAAGATGACACACATTTTTGCGTATCATAATTTTAAATGTTTAAAAAAATATTATTTATAGATTTACTAATTTTCAAATTAAATAATACATTAAAAATCTCATAATACAAAATAAAATACCATAAATAACAAAGATATTTCATTTCACTAATATGTCAAATACAAATAATTATTCCAAAAGTGAGTAAATGTTATAAAAAATGAACTCATTTATATACAATTGCATCATCACGACTAATCGGTTTTATAATCTCAAAGTCATCAATGGAAGTGCAGTCCTTATTTCCGGAATGTATAGGGCTGGTTCTCAAGCTCCGTACCACATCATCCTCTAATGGAGCATCTTAATCGATAACCGTGCTTGCGATGTCAAGTTTTTCATCATCAACCATCTCACAAATCTGCAAATACTTCTCCCTGCTTCTAACAACTAATAATTAACATTTATGATTTATGATTTATGATTTATGATTTATGATTTATGATTTATGATTTATGATTTAACAAACACACACCTCATGAAAAACATGTTTATTATAAAAATGTTATCACCGAATAAGCTTCTCTATGCGTGCTCCAAATGTCTCAACGGTCAGGGCGTCAAACTTTCTCCGGTCGATCATGACTCTTAGGTCATCAAGACACGTTAGCAGATACAACAAAGATCGATCGTCATCCAATGGCGTATTGCCAGCACATCGAGCAATATCAGCAAGCTCATTCATCTACAAATATTTCAATATCAGTACCTATATCTCATAACAAATAAGAACCTATTACCTACCTATGGAAGGTCATCATGTTCATAATAGGCACCCTTCCCTGCCAATAACAAGTCTATCTGGCTGGTTTCTGGTGTCATCAATGGCGACCTAGGAGTCATGCTGCTAGCAGATGATGTGGTCATTCCTTGGTCAGATTTAGGACCAAAGTGGGTCCTACATGACATAGAGGGGTGAGCTTTAAGATCATCCATTAATACAGAATTATCGCCTTGATCAGGAAAACAATCAAGCATGTCTTCTGAACCTCTACATGACCAATCACTAAGCTTAGGAGACATGAAATCACAGTCTTTGGTAACACTTGAACTTGGTTTAGCAGCATCTGGACTTCTATTATCCTTTTGTGAAATCAACTCCATTAACTTCTCTAGGGTTTCAGCAACCCTTACAAGCCCTTCATCTACACTTATACTTGTCTGATCGCAACAATCAGCAATCGCACAAATTCTAGAATGTTCTTCCACGTGAAAAGTCAAAACCTCCTCTTCACAAATCTGAAAAATGATGGAAGTTTCATCGGAAATTTAAAATGAGAATTCGTAAATGGTGTAACGTGTAAGTAAATGTATTTACTTTCGTCCTATCGGATGTCATGTGAAGTAGAATCGAAAGTTTGTAGTGAGATCAATCTGTATTAAAAGCTTTAACATCCACTCTTTGCTATGAGAGGAAAAAGAATAGACATTACCATTAGTTAAATAGATTTTTGAGTGAGAAGGTGAAAAAATTATTTAAAGAATAAAATATGTGACTCACCTTCTTTTCGAGCTCAAGAAGTGATAGTCCAGCACTAAAAACATCAGAATTCTGAGTGGCAACAGCTATACCCACACGAGGTGAAAGATAGGCATCATTTCGAGAGGAAAACAACATATTTCCCCTTTGTCCCACATAGTCCTGTGGGGAAAACATGTTCGGAATAGGGGTAGTATGGTCAATTGCTTCTAGAACTTGGATGTTCCTCCTTAAGCTAGTTGATATTGGCTTTGAGAGACTAAAAGTACTCCTAAAGCTAAATTTTCCAGATCTGGCAAGTTTTATAACTGATAAGGGATCCACATCTGCACTCTCTGAAGGGTTGATTTCTACCACTTGATATGTAAGGGGGATAGAACAGTTATTACTTATCCATTATGGGTAAAAAAATCATATGATGTGAAAAAGACGAGTCCATCAGATGAAAGCCTGTATAATCAATAACTTATCAACATGTAAAAGATTAACCTTGCTAATTTCTCACATTTAGTCAACAATTGGATTATAGGAGGGACACTTACAACTCTTTCATCTTTGAATCAAATTGAGCCTCATGAAAATAAGATCCTTCATGAACCATAGTCACCATGACTGCACAAATTACAGCAATAATCACTCTTAAGCAAAAGAAACCACGTGAAATATATGTGAGTCTGATTATCATAAGCAAGATACAGTGAGAATACAGGGTTCTTGATTACCAGGTTATAAGAACTCGTAGAACCAAAAACCCTATTTCCCCAAATTTATTTAATTATAAACCATGTGATGGATGCAGGTATACAACCTTGCTTGTGGTTTAGAGCATGCTTCCGAACAGATCCATCAACAACTTGTGCATTCAACAGAATTTGGGTAACTTCCAATGTAACAGCCTAGATCCCCAGGTATCTTCATTTCATATATTTTTGACATTCTGTGAGGGGACTCGGCGAGTTGGAGGTCGAACTCGCCGAGTCGGGTCGCGGTTTTGGGCGGGGGTTCGCGTCCGGACTCAGCGAGTCCAAGGGATGGACTCGGCGAGTCCGCACTGTTTAATGAAACCCTAATTTCCCGGTCCTAAGCCCTATTTAAAGGACCTTATGGCCCTCATTTGCGGCCACCTTGAACCCTAAGAGCCTCCATACGTCTGTAAGCACTTGTGAGTGTGTTTGAAAGCCATTTGTTCATCATTTTGTGTGATATTGCAAGGAAAAGAGGGAGAGGAGCAAGCTTGAAGTGTTGGGGAGCTTAGATCTGTTGCTATTTCATCAAGGGAGTCTTCTTGAGGTAATTTTCAGATCCAAACTTCGTGTTTTGTGTTGATGTGCCAAATCTAGGGTTTCTTCTTGCATTTCTTGGCTTGAATAAGAAGTATGAGAGGTCCCATGGAGATATGGAACCTAGATCTGGACTTTAGCAGGTCCAGGAGACCCCTTATGACAAGCTTTATGTCCATTCTTTTGAGTTAGAAGCTAAACTTGCCATATTAGAGGTTGTTTCTTCAAAATAAGCCTTGTATGCATTGCATGGCAACCAAGACTGAGACTTTACGTGACAAATAAGCTTGGGAAGGCCAGATCTATGTATGTATGGAACGGATCTGACCGCAAAAGCTAGTTTTAGCTGGTGCATGGCATGTACTCGCCGAGTCTGAAGAACAGACTCGACGAGTTGCTTGAAGATTATCTTTGAGACCATCCTGTGTGTAGTCCGGACCGAGTTGTGAGCGACTCAGTGAGTCGCAGAGAGTTGGAAAGGTTTTGACAGGTGGACCGAGTCAGGTTGGGACTCGCCTAGTTGACCTTCGACTCGGCGAGTTGAGTCGCGATGGCCCTGTGACTCAGGCCCAGGGGGAACTCGTCGAGTCGAGGGAGTACTCGACGAATCAAAGGGGAATAACCCTGATAGTTGATTAAAATGCGTAGACTCGCCGAGTCACTATTGTGTACTCACCGAGTTCGGTCCCAATCGATTAAAGACGATTGACCAAGTCAACCTGTGTTAACTTGATAAGGATGGACCACCTTTGTGGTACAAGTAATAATTATAGATTTATAATATCATAGGAGGATTGCAGCTCGAGGGTTCGAGCCCGAGTGATTTCAGGATTCACGATTAGTGACTTAGCGAGGAATTCGAGGTGAGTCTTCTCACTATACTGTACCCGGAAGGGTTTTGACTGTGTGACCGGAAGGTCGAATATGATATGAAATATATTCCTTATGTGTGTTAAGTTATTTGTTATATGTGTCATGTATGATATGTTTGATCCGGGCCGGAAGGCAACATGATATGGGCCGGAAGGCGTGGTCATATGGACTGTAAGGGTTGACGTGGGTAGGACCGGAAGGTTTACCCAGTCGGGACGGAAGTCCCCTGAGACACATGGACCGGAAGGTCAAGGCCTGGAAAGGCGTATGTGCGTATGTTGTATTTTGGGAACTCACTAAGCTTTATGCTTACAGTTGTTGCATTATGTGTTTCAGGTACAAGTGTGGACCGTGGGAAGGCGCCAGCGTGACCGTACACACACTCGGGGAAACTATCCTGTTATCTTTTGTTATGTAATCGGTTGTGACTACATTGTTACTTTGGAATCTAAACTTATTACTCATGTTTTGATGGTTGTAAAAATGAAAATTTTTGGTTGGAAATTTTATGACGGTACATCCAATGCCATAAATTTTTCTTGCGAACAGTGTTTCACCATAAAAACAGGTTAAGATTATTTAAAACTAAAAACACCAACAACACGTTACAAAAGCAACCTAAAATCCATATTTCCAACATTTACAAAGAACTGAATTTGAAATATATGCAAGTTCTAAAAAATTAGAAAAACAAAAGCCAAAGAAAAAAGCCCCAACATTTGTAGAAAAAGCTAGAACAACTATGAAAGTTGTTGCTGCACAAACTAAGGCAATTGCAGGTGATTTGGAAATGAATATATGTTTTATTTTTCTTTTTTAAATTGTTTAGTCATTTTTTTACAATGTGAAAGTAACAAACATCTATCATTTTCATGAATTTTTTTTTAATTTGCAGATAAGATAAAAAAATTGGGATAATGTTTGGGCTATTGGAACTGGAAAGGTTGCTACCCCGGCTCAGGCTCAAGAAGTAAGTAGAAGGGTATTTATGTCTTTTTGGATTGTATTATTGTTGAAAGATTGAAAACCTTCTGAAATAGGGCTTCTAGAAACCCATGAAGACAATTCATGTAAGGAAGAGACTGGATAACATGAAAAAGAGATAAAAGACTATGAGAAACAAATATACATACCTTCTGCCTCTTGGGTCTTTCATTTTCCACTTCCAAACGTGAGATTTTGTTCTCCAGCTCATGTGTGTATAGCCACCAAGGCTTAGGGTTTTCCAGATACATGTTTGTGTACAAAATGAAGAAGAATACAATGTTATAAAAATAAGAAATTATTCCAACAACATTAAGATGTAAATAAAAAAGTTATAGAGTGTGCATACTTGTGGTGTTTTCAAGCTCTTTTATCATCTCTTTTGCTTGTAGTTCAGCAGCTTTTTGTCCTGCTTCAGCTTCTCTTTTCTATATACGAGCATGAGCTGAAGCTGAAATGGCAGCATCTACCTCTTGTTCTAATGTCTCTACTCTCTGTTCAAGAATCTGCACCCAAAAAAAAGTCATGTGAAAAAGAGGATTTATTAATATATTTTCTTACAATGTTTTTGAAATGAAATACAAAAAGAGCAGTTGATCCCCAATGAATTGAATTCAATCAGAAGTAGAATGACGATGTAGAAATTGAAACTCTTAACTATTGAATTTCAATCAAACATTGATAAGAAGACTTGATGGATTTGTTATTAGGTCGAATTTTAGCTCAAAAACTGACGGAATCATGTTAATTTCAAACATGCAACACCAACCAAATCAGCCACAAAAACAGATATCGAAAATCATACGAGTTTTCTCTAATTTGAACAGATTATAAGAAATCCAATGATTGAAACTCAAACAATTCAATTGCAATAAGAGATCATCAACATGTGGATTACCGATTACCATTTACCAATCAAATCATATATCGGCAGAGAAATGTGGTTGAATCTCTTAATTTGACAAGCGAAGTTGTAAAAATTGTTGAAATCAGGTAATAGGAAAAACGGAAACGGAACCTTGATTGTACGGGCTTGTTCGGAGGTTAAGGAGGCTATGTTTGTGTACAAAATGCCGTATGAAGATTGACCAACCCCATTCACGATATCTGATAATAACATTAAAAAGATTAATATATATCATAAAAAATAATATATATATATATATATATATATATATATATATATATATATATATATATATAATCAAGATTAAAAAAAGTAATAATAATAATAATAGAACATACTTTGAATCTTCTGTGATACGATATAGAACAAACAATGATTCAAGGGTTTCAGGGCGCAAAAGGTTATGGCGATCAGCATGTTTGATGACAATGTCATGAATATACTCTGAACTCTTGTTTCCTCCATCAAGATTTTCCTCAGAGTAGCCCTGATTTATCAAAAACACTAATATTTATTAAAAAAAACCAGTAACATCTGAATAAAAATAATTCACCACTATAGAAGGATTATAACTCTTAAACCTTTCCCTTCCTTCATATCCAAGAAGCATCGCATACATGGGCAAAACCATCAATGCACCAGGGACCCATCATCCTTGTTTTCCTTTTCCTTTGATGAATCTGATTATTTCAGATCAAGTTTACCTGTATAGATAATATTTAAAAAAAAACATCAAAAGTTTAGTAAGTTATAACTTATAATAATAAATAAAGAGAAAATTGAAATAGAATCATGGAATCATACATGAGCAATCTCTTGCCCTAGATCTGGATGCCTAGGAGCAATTATGGCAACAATATTGATGTGCTTTTGCACTAAGGCTCTATGAACTAATACCATTACAAGTTGCTTCAGGAAAGTCAGAATGTAATGTGTGGAGTAGATTACAAGTTGCTTCAGGAAAGTCATAGCTCTCCTTAATCCATCTGCATTGCTCCTCAATACTCAATGTTTCAGGGATGAAATAGAAACCTAACAACACATAGTTATCAAGTATCAAGTATATGTATAAACAAATTAACCACATAACATAAATACAAGAGAATGGAGAAGAAATATCAAGAGAAAAAAAGGGGGGAGAATGGAGAAGAAATATCGAGAGAAAAAAAGAGCGAGAAGTTGTAAAACCCTAAATCTCCTTGACGGGGAGGAACAACAAATATATATTGCGATTTATTTTTGGATGAGGCACTACCAACTTTACCTTAGAAGCTACTTGAATCGTACCTTTCTAGGGCTTCATTAGTTCATAGATGGCGATAGGGAGAAGTTGTAAAACCCTTAATCTCCTTGTAAGTCTGACACAAGCACAATGTAACAAGCCCTAAATCGTAGTCTTGTGAGCGTGAGGACCCGAAAGTGGTTGGCTCTTAAACAAATGCTTGTAAACTTGAGCAGTCGTTATAGTCTCGGTGAGGTGAGGTGAGCTCGAGGTTGCCGGCAGGAAGAGGTGAGCGGAGGTCGCCAGTGGGAAGGGGTGAGTGGAGATGAGCAGAAGTGAGCAGATGTAGTAAATAGAGATAAACATTTTAAAAAAAACCCTAGATCCCCTGCGACTTTGTTATAAGAAACGCGTTCATTTTTAAGAATTATAAAGTGACATGCCTGCACGATGCACCTTTTTAATGGGTCTCCGTGTTTTTTTTTTAAATTATAAAGCGACATGCCTGCACGTCACGCCTTTTATAATGGGTGCCCTCTGAGTTTTTTTTCTAACACTAATTTTAGGTCACAGAAAAATGCGCGTTCTAAATCCTTCATATTTTTTGGGATATGACATTATTTTTAGGGTACACACTTTTGCGTATCGTAAATCACCGCGTGTCATTGTTCGCGCGTCATTAAAGGCCAATATTCTAGTAGTGATTTCAAATCAACATTAATTAAAACATTTATCAGAGTTTATCCCAAAACATTCATTACGGAAAAAATAGGTGTGTGTACTGCGATCAATCCGAGCCCTCCATTTCCAAATCGGTGATACCTAAACCCATAACTGTAACCGTAAGCACAAAGCTTGGTGAATTCCCCAGAGCATACCCACACACAATCCACATAAGACATATCATATTATCGATTCAAGCTATCTCTACTATGCAAATGATGCATACATAAACATATAAGGATGTCATGGGATCGTCCCCAATGTCTTACTCTAAGATGCCATGGGCTCCCCACTTGGTCTTACACCTAAGTGTCATGGGCTCTCTCATTGTCTTTGAAAGGAAAACCATGGGCTCTCCACATTGTCTTATATCCAAGTGCCATGGGATATCCACATGGTCTTTAGTAGGAAATTCATGGGCTCTCCACATGGTCTTACATCCAGGTGTCATGGGCTCTACTATGATCTTCCATGCAAGTATCACAAAGACAACTAGCATAGCACATACCACATAGTCAACTAGCATACCACATAATCACTAGCATACTCCGTATCACATAACTAGCTAACATGCCACATAACATAACTCCAGCTACTGTATCACATATCAGAAAATGGGTCAGTATTAGTGCCTTTAACACATAACATCACTCCTCAATCCGCTCCGATGTATGGTAGTCGAACCATAACATCACTCCTCAATCCACTCATTAGGACCTTTAGAATACTCCCTGTATCAAGTATGGGTCCTCTACTTTCAGTAATACGGGCCCATACTACCTACCACAACTACCCATACTTTCCATACGGACTATTTCGGAGCTCCTAAGTAGCTACTCGACCTTCTCGTTCACCAATCCCGTCGCGTGTGCTCGCTCCCTAGCAAAATTCTCTACTCTGCCAGCGCACTCATCTGGCTATGGTTACTCCCTAGGCTCTTCCTAGATTCCAACACTTCTCTGCCATCAGCTGCTGAAGAACTCCTAATGATGCCAGCCATCTACCTCCTGAATATCGTCATATTCACTTAGTAGCTGACTCCCATCATTGAGAGCTCCACAAAGCACGAAGCAAACATCATTTGGGCCTTGAAGCTTCCCCTTCAGCACGAAAAACCCGTTAGGTTATTATCCACTCGCTTTCCTCATAAGTGATGGATATCACTGAACTCTAACAACTCCGCCCCACGTGGGCATCTGGCTACCCTCTCGGCATGCCCCTCGTATGCTCATATAGATACCTCTTCCATATTACTCCCTTACTCGAATCCCTTAAAAAAAATCTTGCTGGACACTCTCGCTCGGCACATACTCGAAAGCACATCACATATAACAGCAACCCTAGGCTAAGGCATCACAAATTAGTCCACTCTAGTCCTAAAATATGAATTGCCTAGCCTGTGTCTAGCATGCATAATATCTCATAAAATGTATCAAAAATATATCATAACATAGAATAAGGGTGTTTTGGGAAATCACCGTTCGGGCTCTGGCTGATTGTACACACTGCTCTTTTTTGCTTTCTCTTTGAAACTCTTATTCGCTTTATAAAAACACAATCCTTTTTAAAAAAATTGTCTTAAATACTCAGTTTGAGTCCAGACTTACCCGAAGGTGCATCCGAATCCCTCAAACCAAGGCTTCGATACCAACTTGTAACACCGTAAATTTCAAAACAATTTTCATTTTAAAATAATCATTTGATTCTCAAAAAAAATACTTTTCTTAAAATCCCATTCATAATTGAATTACAAAACATGACCCCATTTTCACATGCATAATAAACCAGGATCCACAAAACATGACTCTTTCTCTGGTATGTACAATCGAGTCGGTGCCGTCCCGTGATCCTGAGAGAAACCTGAAACACATAACACAAAACACTGTAAGCACGAAGCTTAGTGAGTTCCCCAAAATACCACACATAACACATATTAACTACTCGAGGCTATAACTCTATGGGTCTGTGGACCCTACTCTATGAACCTTCCGGTTCTAACTCTGTGAACTTTCCGGTTCTAACTCTGGGAACCTTCCGGTTCTAACTCTACAAACATGCACAACATAAATCACATAGAAATGATGAAGTACAACACATAACATACATAACATACAAATACTCTGTCATATAACTCTGGTTACCTACTCAAGGTAAAGTATAGTGAGAAAATTCACCTGGAAATCCGAAAGCAATTATTTGCACATGAAAACCTCGAACTCGCCACCGCCTAACACATAAGGAAAATATCTCTAATTAATACTCGAAGTCCCAACTCTAATTAACCGGCGATTAATCTTTCCCTCTCTAGTCAGGTAATGGGTAAAAGACCATTTTACCCCTCCCTCACCTTTATTACCTCTATTGACCAAAACTCCCAAAGTCAACATAAGACAACTCAAATCAACGGTCAACACTGACCAGACTCGACGAGTACACAAGAGTTACTCGACGATTCCAAGTGGGTTCTCTAAATCCTTTTTAAACCTCTTAGACACGATGAGTTCCCTCTCCACTCGTCGAGTTACTCGGCAACAAATCGCGGGGCAACCCCGACTCGACTCGTCGAGTCTGCCTATGAACTCGGAGAGTTGCTCCCATGACAACCCTCATCTGAACTTCTGAGGTCAGATCTGCTTCACCATACCATAGATCTAACTCCCTCAAAGCCAATAACCACGAAAAGGTCGAACCTTGGGCACTCATGCAAGGTTCTACAAGCTCATTTGGGTGAAACCCTCCATTACATAACCACCCTAGCTCAAGACTCCAAATAGAATGCATAAAGCAGGATGGAAGGAACTCTCTAGACCTCTTTGGGTCCAGATCTATGGCTTCACACTAAATGGGACACTATACTCCACAAATCAAGCCATAAAAGAAGCTATAAAACCCGAAAATCACCAATCTTACCCAAAACAGAAAAGGGAGAACGATTTGATACCTCTATGGTGAGGATACAAGCTCAGAAGCTCTGAATCGACACCCTGTGACCTCCCTTTGCTGGAAATGACTACTCCATTGCACAACCACCTCAAGAATGCTCCAAAATGGCTCTTCTTCACTCTCTTAGCTCTCTGGTTCGATAGGAGTCTCTCAAAGGTGTAGGTGGCCGCCACTGAAGGCCATAAGGGCCTTTAAATAGGTCCCAAACCCAGACAATTAGGGTTTTCCTTGACAGCGCCGACTCGGCGAGTCCAAATACCCGACTCGTCGAGTCCCTTCATTAAGCTGGTCCCCAAAACGCGATCCTACTCGACGAGTTGAGGCGTCAACTAGCCGAGTCTCCTCATTCCCCAATATAAATTACTTAAATTCCCATACCTGGATATCCGGATGTTACAATTCTCCCCCTCTTGAATTATATTTCATCCCCGAAATCATTCCTGAACCACCCAAAAATTAATTCATTAACCCGAAAGGCACCACCGAAATGATCCTCATACCGCCCGGATATCTTTCTCTAGAGACATCCAAAATCACATGGAACCTCCAAAACAAAGTCTAAACCAACACTTTCGCCGCTAGAAATACGCCTTCCCAATAACTGGAAACTCTAGTGATCTAAACCGCCTCCAGACCACCTACTCGAGCGATCACCATGATAATTGCTCCTCGAATAACAACCCTGCTCTCTCACTCGTTTTCCGATTCTCGTACCACCATATCTAACAACCGACTATCTCTCCTCCAAAATGATCATGCCATAACTGATGAACCCCACCCCTACGAATAAAAGGGTTCACACTCCATCAGGGCACATCTTCTAAAACTGCTATCAGAAACCATCCGAACCAAAAATCCTGACACTCTACCCTCAGATACAGAAGCATAACCATGCTTGCTCAGAAGTGTCCTCAACATCTCATTCACAATCCTTTGCTCTAAATTCCATATCTCTTTTAACACCACACGAGGTCTGTCCTCAGCCTCAAAAAAATTAAACCTCCACGGTTACCCATAATCATGATCCAAAATGTCTCACCGAATTCTTCCTCGCATGAACTATCTAAGCCTAATGGCACAC